ATATATCGTTAGTAATTACTAACGATAATAATTGGCAGGGGGGTTGTATATCGATTGTAATCTAGGGGATTACTATCAATATATAGCACCTTTTAAATTTTGCTGATGTTAAGGTGCATGTTTACCTTAAACTAGTAGTTCAATTTGGTCTTTGGATATTTATACAATACCAGAACAATACTAAGTCATATAGTTTAGGATTCTCTTGAGTTCCCAGAATTCGGGTTCCACTGTTTCATGAAGTGTACACAGATCATATCTCCTGTTTCTTGTTTTGATCACAGGTTTCTGGGTAGTAATCATGATTGGTGTGTAACATATTCCATAACTTATAAAGATACTATTCATTTCACCTGTATAGATTGTGTGTTCATGTGTGATGCTCCTTGTCCTGGTTTCAATTTGTAACATGAATCTATCCCAGAGAACGTGTGTTTCTCCTTTATACTCAAAGATGAATTGCTCGCTCATCCATTCATATTCGATCCAAGGGTGAAAAGAAAAAGATTATGATCGATATATGTAAAGAGAAATTGGAGAAGGAAAATGAAAAGTTACGAAAGAGAATCGAAATTCTTGAAAATAATATTGAGAAAAAGGAAAAGATTATGATCGATACACGTGAAGAGAAATTGGAGAAGGAAAATGAAAAGTTACGAAAGAGAATCGAAATTCTTGAAAATGATATTGAGAAAAAGGACAAAAATAATGATAAACAGGCCAATTACATTGTTACTCTTCGGAATAAATTAAAAAACTATAAAAATAAAATTGATAAATTGAGAATGACCTTGGATAACGAACAAAGAAATTTCAGGTTTTTACAAAGAGAATGTGATCGTAAAGAACGAATTATTAAAAGATTTTAATGGGAAGAGCATCAACAGGGACCCAGTAATAAAAAAGTTTATGAAGATAATATTAAGTTTAAGGAATGAGAATCTAATAATAAAGAAGTTTATGAAGAGAATGTCAAGTTGAAAGAAGAGATTTATTTTCTTAAAAAAACAATTTCTGGAATAGAAGAGGGAACAAGAGAAAAAGAGAAACAGATTCTTGGGTTTCAGATTACGACCATGATTACGAGATAAATAATTGTAAGAAAATTAAAGAGTAATCTTTAAATTTATCTATATATTTTATATTTGTATATTATATATTATGTGATCCCTTCTAAAAGTATAAATAAATGAATATTTTATCTTTCATAAAACTATGTAAATATGGATCGATTAACATCTAAGACAGAACAAAGTATTTTTATTATGATTCATAACCCATTATCTATTATATGTGCTTTACGAATATGGTATAATATAAGTTGTGATCATACTACTCGCGCAAAGTGGCTGATCTTTCACCATGGGAGGTCACATGCATTATTTAACGCAGTGAAGAAGGGTCCAAAGTTTTTAACATATGATCAACTTAAAGCTTTGTTTTTTTTAAATATTCTTCTATCACGGTATTTTGTCCAGCGTCTAATGTTAGTATTCGGATAGGTAGATTGTGATCTTATCAATATGAAAATAAGAAATGAAATATTAGATTATGATATTTCTCTAATGAGAAAAACTAAAAGTTCCTGGGCTGAAGATATAGATTTTAATATTCTTAATTGCATATTAATGAAAGTTCATGAGCTTTATAGTAAAGAGAATCTAAAGATTAGGGAAAATGATATGGAATTGTTCTATTTCCTATCTGGAGGACCTCAAAATTTGACTGATGCGAAGATTATTCTAGAAAACAACTATAATAAGATCTCTGAGCTTATTAGTATATATAGATTTACTCTATTTCCCAGAAGACCAAATTCCTCAGGTGGAACTACTGAATCATATCCATCACTAGACGGATATGAAAATAATCGACAAATGAA